TGAGGGGCTCTATTCCTTGAAATATTGACGCAGGTTAAAGTCTAGCCCCCGTTGGAATATCTTTTCTGCCTTTAAACCTTTATGTGGCTGGTTTCATATATAGTTTTGGGTTTTTAGAGGAAGTAGATATAATTAACAACCGATCAATCAATCCGCAGCTCTTTTCAGAGCCCATCTACCCATGTCACGTTTAAATAGATGTTAGGTTCTTCCCATCACGTAAAAGATTTCAAATTCAAATTCAATCCGCAGCTCTTGTTTTGAGCTATCTTCGACGGTACGCGACCCACCCGTCATGGACAGACTGACTGGTCAGCTGGCGTGATTTCTGCCAAGTTATACATGTAAATTAGACATTTTATGTGGCTGTATTTAGGCGAACTGATTGGTAAACCTTTTTTCGATTTGGAAGGATCCACGGTCGGGGTTCTCCCTGATATGGGAGTTGCGGCATCGCAGCTAACATGAAAGGTTCTGACTAGTCTGTCCATTAGAATGGATCGAGAAGAGGATAATCATTTCCTCAAAAATGTGCATGATATCAGCAGGGGCTATGTATCCCCCAGTAACCTTCTTTATCCCGGCCACGTCTTGCCAACCACGTTGAACTCTTTCCCTACACCATGGTGATGTGAGATGCGTCCCAAAATAGGCAAAAATGGATCATGGGCGTGAATGAAATCGGTAGAAGAGCGGCCATGAGCAAATATTCCGGCGCCTCGCTGAGTAACTTGAATCTCACCGAGGATGATGGCGAGTTTCCAGATCATCTCCCGCAACGAGGGCATGCGAATCCATAAATTCCACCCCACTTGTTTCCTCACGCGAGGCAGGGTCTTGTGATGGGTGGGAGAGACGATATGGGTGAGTTTCGAGTTGACTTCCGAAGGGCATCGGGTCGGGGCGAGACCTGCAATGAGACGAACGGTTGTCGTGCCTGGGAGGCGATGATATCCGATGGCGAAGTAGGAATGGAAGCCATCGTAGTCGACCTAGCCGTCACTTATGCGCTAACACAATCAAAAACCTCACGTGATAAGAGATCGAGGTGATCAGCGGATTTCCCCGTTACGCCGTGCGATGCTTGCGCAGATCTTACGTCACCAGCCAAGTCAGCGACCCGTCCAAAATATATTCACGCCACGCGCTTTCGACTTAGTCTCGGACGATTCCATCGGCCCGGATCTACGCGAGACCCTGTGTCTGCTTTCGTAAGTCCCGACGAGAAAGCCGGACGATTCGACGGTCAAGTTACTAAGATGAGCTGTGGATGAACACAAGGTGTCAGCCCTTGCTAGTCAAACTACGGCTCACTACAGTCGGCAGGGAGGGCGGAGAGATTCAGAATGACAGGGAATCAATAGTTCTCCCATGTCCCTGGGCCCAACTCATGACGAAAAGCTTTCTGTTTGGTTACATCCCCCATGACGACACGACCAGGAGCTTCCGGCGAACTGAGTATCTACGGCCTTTCACGAGCAGCTGTCAGCGGATTTTTACCCACCGACTCGCCATCTATCTAGCAGTACCTTTAATCTCTCGTCTGCACCGCGTCCATTGACGATCTAGCTGGCAGGCGAATGTCTCTTTTACATGCAGTTTGCACGCAACTGTCTAGTCATTTATGCAGATCTTGTCCCACACATCAACCAATTTATTCCAGGTGCATGCTGATGTCTCGTAGACTGCGGAAATCAACAGTAGAAGTGCCCGTCATGAAGGGACTCGGCCAAACTTCCCTCGATCAGCGGCTTTGCCACTCGAGTTAAAACATGCGCAAGTCAGAGACAGAATATCAGACGACAATCGGGGCAAAGGCATCATTAGCGAAGAGGCGAGGAAGGCGGGGGGTATAATAGGGGGAGATGAATTAGACCGCATAGCTTTCCATCCCTCTTAATGGCACCCCAATGTGTCGAGGCTACGAACGATCAGGCGGCCTTTGCGAATTTGGGCCAATCCTCCTGCACAATTGACTCGAAACAGGTCTGTTCGCGGTTTCCACTGTTGCACTATGAGAATACCGATGGGTTAATTGTTCAGTTGAAGAGCACGCCCGTACAAGTCGACATTGAGTCATTCACTAGCAGAATTCATGTCACCACCAAGGTAGACTCGAGTGGGCCAATGTTTCCATAAACACGAGGAAGAATACAGTGCCACTTGTCGGCAAAACAGAGAATCAGGACGGAACCATCAGGGTTGCCCATGCGTCCGAGAAAGGGAGGGGCGGAACGGACGATCGCGCGCATTTCAGGCGGGAGGGATGAATTAAGGAAGGCAAGTAGTTGTCTAGAGTCGGAGAACGACGGATGAAAGCGGTATGGAGAACGTGCGTGCGTATGAGTCGATCAGCCTCGTTCATTATCTCTCTATTCCCGTTCGACGTCGGTCGCTAGTCACGAGCCGAGTGATGGTCCAGCCAGCAAGGAACGTGCCGGGAGCAAAACTGAATGACTTTGACAGGAGCTGGGGTGAGCGGGAGTGGAGGCACGAATAATGGCAATGATAGTGGTCACAGCAACGAATTTCTCCAGGATGGTAGCGACTGCTGCAGCCCTTTGCAGGTGAGCTCGGTCCTGGATTCGAGCACAGCGACGCCACGGTGATCCATCGCCATCATCCCCTACCAAACTCGCTCAACTTTATCAAGGTACCTGAGTCACTCCATGGTGAAAAGCAGCGAGACGTCAGCATCAGCAATAGTAAGTATCGATGAGTAATACTGGGATGGCGAGAGTTGTGAAGCCAATCCGCGCATGCTGGGGGGGGAAAACCTTTACACTCACCACAATTTCTTGCTTGAAAACGTGATCGCTAGGTCTTTCAATCTCTAGGGGTCATAATCGGACAGGCTTGGGGAAAATCCCGAGTCACAAGTGTCGACTAGCTAGTATATCAACCAGTGTCAGGATATTCTGCAATGATCACCAGATAAATGTCACTCAGTTTCCTCTCTTCGAGTCTGTGCGCTAGGCTAGAGGAAAATAGCTTATGCTCTTTATCCCCATGTCCCAATAGCCATCGGATCTACCATCCCTTTAACAACTCGGCTGCTGACAATAATTTTACTCATCATGGTTGAGGCTAGGCTTGAAGCTCGTGCATTACTATCCATAAAGCAATGTTTACAACATATGGTCGTATTTAATTTTGTTTGCGCGCATCTTGTCTGATCGAGGGTGCTATCAATGCTCGAATCAATAAAACAAAGGAGAAGATATTCATATACGGTCACTCAATGAGTAGTTGTCTATCATTTTTGTGATGAGAGCCAATGAAGCTTTTAGGAAGCGCACGTTAGCACAATTTGGGGAGTATTTTTTGTAAGGATCCAGCAATGTGTGTCATCTACCTCGAGTCACACCTATAGATGGGCGAGAGACTACCGTAGAGCGGCAGTCGCTCCGTCATAACTATTTTAGGGATGAATGGGTAGATTGATGATGAGCAATACCTCAATTCACGTTTGGACTTAGAATGCGCGGGACGTTCGAGACGAGCCTAAAGTCTGATCTTTGTTGTACCTCAGTTCGACGACGTAGCCACTTGGGTAGAAGCAATGGGCCCCATTGGTTTCCGATTAATATGCGATCGTGGTAAGGCGATGAAGGGCCGCAAAGAATCAAGTATTGCCCTCACCGGTCGTCGCCGCTGAGGTGAGATGATTTGACACTCGATCACGGACGTAAAATGCAGAATTTTCTCCTTGATGGATGATTTTAGATTCTGGCCGATGACGGGTAGGAATCGATTTGAAGGTCGAGGTGCAGCTGTTACTTGCAATGTCGTATATTCGGGTTCGGGGCTCGACCTGCAGGATTCAAATGACTGCCCGGGCGCGGGTTAGGAAGATTCTAGAGGCTCAATCTTCGGGGGCGACATGGTTTGGCACCGAGTGAACCACGGCCACAAGCTCTTCTGGCCTCAGTGGTAGGTAGAGATCCTGCCCTATTGCTGGCGTGCTCCGACCCTAGTATTGCAGGACTATGTCTGTAAGATGTGAGGGCAGCTGGGGCTCTTGACACACGTCTTCGCGCTCGCGCACGTACACACACGCACGCACACACCTCAACTGCGCTCTCAGCGCGAGCACCTCCCTGCCCTGATATGTGCACACCCTACCGTTGAAACAGGCCCACATGCCCCCGCCATTCACATACGAACACGGCACCATATTACTGTGCCCACTGCGCCTTGCCCTATGCGGCTAGGGCAGCCGGCTGACGTGGGCTGCTAGGCCCCAAACTCACTTCCCCTCTGTCTCAAGGCCGCCTAGCCTTGTTGCCCGTGTACCTTGGGGGCTATAGTGGGTCTCCCATGCTCCCCTCCCTGGCGTCATGGGGCCTGCCGCGCCCCACGCCATATGTTTCGACGACGCTTTTCCTCTTTTGATTGAAGCGGCCTACACTCCCTCATGCTAGGCCGCTGCTTATACTGGGCGATTGGTCTCATAGCGGGGGAGGCGTATTTATTGGCCCTGGATGCGGATGCAGGCCACTGACCAGGGGCCCCCGGTACTCTCGTCGCCAATTCATTTGGAGGGGAAGTCGTCGGAGGAGGTGTGATTCGGGATTCGGATAAACTCATTCGCCATACATCCACTAAGCTCCATGACTAAGAGTGGCTCCCACTACTCTACGATATATATGTTCAGGACCCTGACTACTCCTCATCGTCATCTACGCCTTCTATTGTTTGAGATTCCAGCTCATCACACCATCTACAGGCGAAAGACGCCATATCTCTCGACTGCAATTATCATTGCCTAGCCCTGGTCGCGCCGCTCGAACATCTTTCGCCCTGCGAATCTCCCCTTTCCGTGGCCTCCTGTTTTCTCTTTCACCCTCCGACTACCGCCCGGCCAATCTTCTCTCGTCTGTAAAATACTTAATATCCGCCAGGTATTCCGTTAGCCAAGAGCAACAAAACACTTGGCTTCTGTGCTACTCAATTCTCCCATCACCTCGAATTCATCGCCATCCCCACTCTCGTTCGCCATGACAAACGATATCGACTGGTCCCACTCCTTCTGTCTCGCCTGTGATCGCCAGACAGATGGGGACGTCTATTGCTCTGAAGCCTGTCGTCTCGCCGAATACGAGGCGGGCTCTCAGCCAAGTTCAGCCGCCTCTTCGCCCATATATCCGCAAAGCGGCCTCTCATGGCCCGTAGATCGCTTAAAGTCTCCCATTCCCACTAGAAAACGCGAGATTCACAAGCTCGCCGGAGTCTCCGAAATTTATTCTATACCATTTCCATCCTCACCCCAGCCCTCGCCCCATCAACATGCAACACTGCGTCTAGACCACGAGACTCTCAAGAGCCAGAGCAGTTCAACCCACCTGTCGACCAGTGATTTTTCTCTACTTCTCTCCCCGACTACTGATGCAGGGTATTCGCTCGTCTCGGAGGACTCAAAGCGGGCCTTACAATCATACGCGAATGCCTTTGATCAGTCTCGTTACAGTCGACGACCGTCAACACCTTGATGCACATGGTGCATCTTATCGTGGATTTCAAGGTTCGAACGATATATCATTTCATTCACATACTTATACGTGTACACACATCTGCCTACATAAATACAAGCATAAAAAAAAAGCTCTTCCGGTCGACGATGGTAGACTGCATTTTAACTGGGGTCAAAGGCAACACCATACGGGTAGCTTGGGGTTTCGGGGGAGCTAGGCGTTTAATAACTCGACAGATTATGGGTGGCTGTATCAAAAGCGAACACGAAAGCATGGCAAAAAATATACATATTCTCCCTACGGAATAAGGATTACTTATAAAAAGGCATATTTATGGGAAAGAAGGGTAGGGTCCGAGAGGTAATCCTCTGGCCAGGTCGACCAAAAATGCAGGGTTGGTGCGGGGTCAAATATTGTCATCAAAGATTGTACAAGATATCACTCATTGAGATAATGTTCCGTGGATTAGGAAACACCTGAAACGGTCAAACGAGATGGTGTTGAAGGCGCCACGAAGTATAAGTATCAGAAAGGGACGTGGTACGTGACGGAACGAAGGCTCGTGTGTGAGTCAATTACACAAGGGGGCTGCAGATAATCTAGCGGCATTGTGAATACTTTATGTGATAGGAAATAGGCTTGAATACGCGCGGTCGTTGATGGTCATAGTAGAAAAAGTAGCTTTGGTAGACAGCACAAATTGAACACCTTCACACCCCCTCCACCACTCGGTTTTGCTACAAACTTCACGAGCCCGATACGTATCTTGCACCTAGTGCAGAGAAGGTAATGATCGGAATCCTTGGTCAGCCCTAAAGTAACGTCTGTTAGTGACTCGGGGTAGAAAGGGGCTGTGACGATCATCCGCACCGGGCCCAGCGTAAGCGTCCGAACTGACTCGCCCGAGCAAATGATATGAGAGGCAACAAGATTGTTGCCAGCCTTCGGGCCAATGGCCAACCTGACACGTGATTCCGAAGGGGCGGGCCGGGCCTTGACGTGCAGATGGCGCTTCTGGTCGCGGGTGCGGGGGAAGCGTCATATTCGTGGCAGTCGTCGGGGTTTGCAGGCCCCGGTCTATGAATTTTCCACGCCCGGGGCGGCCGGACATGATACATCAATTTCGAGGGCCCCCGGCCGTCTGCCAGTCGATACTCCGTCTCGAAAGATGATAGACGTGAAGCTGCTAGGTGCCGCGTTGGCTCCATTGTGCGTGACGACCTGAGCTGGCAGCGTCTTCTGTCTGTAAACATCAACGGCATAAGCAACCCTACGTCGAGCCCAGAGCATGGAGGGGGCTAGAGCAGCATGAAGCGATTAGCCTTGGCGACTTGGTGTGGGCTTCGGCATCTCGGCATTGACCTCTTATCACCGCCATCGGCTCCCTTTGTTACGGGTAGCGGAGTGGCGGGGCAAGCCTGCAGACGTGAAAGCCATGAGGCTCCTCGGCTCGAGGCGTCGGCCTGTGGATAAGGAGGATGGCTAATAGAGAGGAATGAGCAGAGTGCTTGGCAGGCTACTATTCGAGGCGCGCCAGGAAGGAATCGACTCTGCGATGAATTGAGAGTGAAGATAATCTCATCGCACGCGCGAGATGGGCTCATCTACTTCTCCCTTGCCGTTCAATGCGGACTTGGCCATCTAGCCTCGACACAGAGCAGCTCATCCCCATGCGTGAGCATCTAGCAAAGAGAAGTCGTGGATGATGTACCACCGAGCCATGAGGCCGATTGTGAAATGGTCAGCGCCCTCGAGCGCAGCGTCGTGGGCCGCTCAACGCTCATCAATCTACAAATCCTGCGCAGAATTCGAATCTCGCCCTTTCGCGATTGCATCGTCGCGTCCACCTATCCTCGGCCCTCCTATGTCCATGGCAGAGATGTGCCTAGCGGGATTCGTGCACCTTCTTTTGTCTTCCGGCGCCTACCTGGCGGTCGGCTAAGACCTGAGGCGACGAGAGGCCTGGTTACTGCTACGAGCCTGCACTTGCAAACTCGATGCGGCCGGGTTGGGAGCGAGATACTGTTGAGGAGGGTCTTGAGTCATTGCCTCGTGAGTCCACTGCTTTGGTTTTGCGGATCTGCCTGAACTTGGCTCGGTGCGAATGTTGCCCTCCCAGCTCCGCCGTGGACGCTGTATGGGGAGCCTGCCAACTGTCCAGCACGACAATTTGCCAGCGGACTGCTGCGGCTCCATGGCCTAGTGGTAAATTATTAGATCTCGAGTTTGAAGTCGAGTCGGAGCGACTTGAACAATAGCTCCACTTGACTGAATAACCACATATTAGAAGCCAAGCGTTCATCTCGTCCCAGCCTTGGTCAGTTAGCTGTCTATTCGAGCAAATATGCCTGGTCCAAAATTTTCTCGCTTTTCCCCAAGTCGCGCATCCTCGGTCGAGGTGCGAGTCCCCGCTGTCCCAGTCAGGAAAAGCAGCGAATGCGACACGTTTCATGAGTGCTGTATCAGTAGCAAATCACCCTCTTTCACCTCGCATCACGTCGGTTGGGCGCAGGGAGGGCGTCTCACGCGTCGAATACAATCCCAAAACTGGCCGCCGCTCTACTGGCTAACATGTGTAGCAAATCTCCCGCCACCGAGAACTTTACACGAGTGGAATAGGTGATTGAAATTGCTTCTTCGCATAGCATTATTTCTACAAAGCAGGAAAAATATGCATCCATCCAACAGTCATGTCGCGCGAGGATGGGTAGCGGACACTCCATAGCTACCCGCGACGTGCTGAACGAAGCTGTGCCTCTCCTTGTAGGGTTCATAGGGCCAAGATGAAGTCCAAAACGGCCAGTCCTGGACAGTGCTATCTTTGGCCGATAGGCAGGAGGAACCTACATGTAATATATCTCCAAATACTGATTAATATTGTACTAGAAATACAAACAGGCAGAAATGGTAGTTTGAGGGATAAATTTCATCATCTACATTAGAACTCGCCATTAGACTTCGCACGCCTGACCCATTTTCCACAGGCGTGCCAGGTATCCATTGCATGTCAGGTTGCGTAAGGCTTCATCTTAAATTACATTGGAAGAGTTCCTGCACGCCCTTTCTTCGCCACAGGAGTAAGTGACCAAGGCATGTTCGGGCGAGAATCTTCTGTAACATTGAGCGATTCCTGCATGTCCCGACTGGACCCAAATTAGTTCATTCTATGCGCGCAAACTTGGATATTTTAGCTCAGTTTTTAGTCCAGAGATAGAGGCGACACTAACATCCTCATATGCTGACGGCGGCTTTAATGCCAGGAAAGCACTGGTGGAGGTCTTGTATGATTGGGCATATTCATTTTTACCCTTGCCGTGGTCGGAGTGAGGGATGGCGCCGTATTTAGACACATTGACTTGGCTAGGACATCGCTGACACTAGCAGACATTGATTGCTCATATAGTGGCGCAAGATGCGAGTGTCTAATTAGGCCGGCTCGCCGCGAGCTCCTGGAATTCCGCTGTGCAACTAGAGATGATTGATGTTAGTGGTTACGAAAGAAATCTAAGATCTGATTCTTGGTTATCTAGTATGGTAATCGCGCAAAGGGCGATAGGATTGACGAGGGTAGCCGTAAGGCCCTCAGTCGCTCCAGTTATTTCCGCATCACGTACTTCTGCTGAGATACCTGTAGGGGTTGTGCTGCGGAAAATCTCATGGGTCGTAGCCCGCCGTAGAGCGGGTTTAGTAGGATCTCGATCATCGATTAAAGCATTGTCGGAGAAAACAGCGAGGTCCAATGTCGATAGCCTGGCATTCCGCCACTTCGACCCCAATGCGCTGATCTTTTCCAATTATGCAAAACGCTTAGCTTCCCAAGGGAGAGGGATGGTATTTTCCAAGAGGCCCGGATAAATCCTTTGACGGATCCATCGCATTCTTGGAGGATCCCACCGTTTGCAAATAGGCTGCTTGCGGTCTTCTGCAGCTGTGAAGATAGCGGGGCGATCGTGTATACGTCCCAGACAGGCTTGCGCGGAGCCTCCAGCGGTCCACCTAAGAAGAACAGCCATTGGTGTTGTCCGGAACGCGGCAAGGGCTGCTCAAGCGGCACTATTCACGCCTTAGTGGATCCGAATAGTCTTCACTCTCTAATACCGTGTCCGATCTCGATAGGATGAGAGTTGTACATCTTCCAGGCTCTTAATTAATAGCGTAGGTAAATATCATGTGTCAAGTCTTTTCTCTCTGCAACACAATACGCAGACAGCCAACGAGTATCACATTGGTCTTTTCGCGTCGCAGTACACCCCAAAAATCCATAGCTCATATTCCAACTGCTCTCCGGTATGCTGAAGTGTTAAACTCTGTAAAAATACATCTCTTTCGTATGCTCGAGCTCAGCTGAAAATGGAGGTCACGTGTAAATTATACCGCCTAGGGAGGTATCCGCGGTAGCGAATCCACCGGTGCTTCCGCGATAGCCGCCAGCGCAACTACAGCTCCTCCTCGTGCACTCTGCACCGCGAGAGCAAAGAAAAGAAACCAAGGTCCGCGACAAAACTTGCTTTGCAGTTCGCTTGACTGAAAAGCTATCATCTGTGTATGAAGAGCTCGGTACTCGCTCGAATACCACGATTAACCCCAGAGCTCGCCAATCTAGAACGACGGACCCACGGATATTGGCTCACTGAGCGGTCAGTTCGTGGTGGCTTTGCAGAATACCGCTGGCGCTTTCCGTACAGAAGTGTCTTTTCAGTCTGCTCATGCCTACAAGAGGAATCTTTGAACCTCTGTTATGCACCATTCCCGCAACGCAAGGCTCGGTCCCACACCACTCATCATATCACTTTCAGCATATTATAGGCTCCTGCTTCAATTGCAGGAACATGTACGTTGAATAACTGGTTCCAGCCTGCATGTTACTTTGAAAGGACTCAACGACAGCTTAAATAGGCACTGCAGCTTGAAATGAAGATTTCTCATTTCAGTCCCGCTCGTAAATATAAAGGATTGCAATTATGTCGAAATCAGTCCTCGCACGCACAATGATACATGCTTACCCTTTTGTGCTATGT